CCACTCTGCTCTAGATGCAAAGGATAAATGCGCTGGGTGTCACAGCCAGAACAGTAATTACGTCATCTGTCTTGCCGTGGAATGTGACTTAGTAATTGCAGTGCTTTCTCCCATCATTGAGGCTTGTAATTAAAGCACAGCTAACAGGACTGCATGCTAACTTGGGCAGTTTTAATCGCCTCTTTTACTCTGAAATGTAACGGTCAAATTCCGCAGTTGTTCCCAGGCTGCTGATTGTCTTCAACATCTGTTGTCTTGTAACTCTTAGCAGTTCAGTACCAAGAGAGGAGGCAGGAATAATGCTCTGGGCATCGGTACCAGAGGACTTCAGCCAGAGTAGACGTCAGGCTTGATAAGAGGAAGGGAGTTTTAAGTTTCCAACCAGAATACAATTTTCTCTTTGAAAGCCAGTTTTTTATTTTACGTTTCAAAGGTGGCCGGTGTTCATGGGATTTGGCCGTGTCTGCAAGCCATATTTCACATGCACTGAAGAAAGCGTTCAATCTTGTAAGTCAGTCTAGGGCTGATTAAGAAAACCCTCCCCTTCCATCTCAGGAGCAGGTTTACATTAATTCACGCCTGGATACTAAGCTGTGCATTAAGGTGTGGCCTTCCGTGCGGCAGGCTCATTAAGATGTTCATTACGTGTATTTATCTTTTCAGATCCCATTACAACAAACTTAAGGGGTTAGCCAGGAACAAGGGGACCTTGGGCACTACATGAAATAAGGCTGACGGCTAAGGTGGGAAAGGTGGAAACCCCCTTCCGTTGCAGGATGACCTAGGCTCCCGTGTGCTGTGTTTTACCGGATTCGCAGTAACAATAACCTTAGTGCATCTAGGAAATCAGCATGGCGTGGAGCCGGCCCGGAGCCACACACCGGGCCTTCCGCGGGGCGCTAATTACTCGGCGCCGTCACCGCCGTGGCTGCGATGTCGTTCCTGTGGGACAGGCGCGCGAATGGAACTCCGACCCAGAGGAGCATCGTTATACCTCAGCAAACAGGCCTGTGGCCCCAGAACAACGGCAGCAAAAACAAAGGGAGACAATCTAAGAACAGCTTGTTTTCTTGAAAGAAAAATTGTGGCGTCAATTGCGCCACCTTTGGAGGTGATAGAAAAATGCCTAAATGAGACCGGCTTAGAGCTCAGCCAGGCCAGACATTAGCAGCACAGCTGCCAGGCAGCCGAGTGGGGAGCAGATGCACTGATGGGAGGCAGGAGAGCGACCCGGCCCGTCTCTCCCCCACGAGGCCGTCCCCCAAAGCCCCATTTTTCGAGCCCCTCCTCCCACGCCCTGGCCTGACGGTTGGCGGTGCAGCGCCCCCTTGTGGTTGCTCTCTGGAAATGACTCGTCAAATCCACCCTCCTTGGAGGTTGGCGAGCATCTGAACAAGGAAACTGATCCAGGGAAGGAAGCTGTCATGATAATTTAGCAAGCCACCTTCGGACTGGCTGCGTCGTGTGGTTGGAGGCCAACGGAGGCACATTAGACATGTTGAAGTGTTTAATCTGGGCACATACGGAGTCGCGTCAGGAAACACCAAACCAAAGTAGTTAGCCGCCGTTCACAAACAGCAGGCGGAAGGCAGGGTGTTTAGGGGGGAGATGCTGAAGCCACGCCACGCTGTTGTTTGATTGGTTTAGCTTAAGCGGTTGCTTTATTTGGGGGCACCTCGTGGGCTCTTTGTGACTGGTTGGTCTTGAGCGTCACTTTCTCAAATTTGGGCACATTGACTCTAGCTGACGAGAATGTTCCAGGCCACCGTACAGTCTTCATTAACAGTTAATCCTGCGGCCGCTATAATGCATAGCTTCCATGCTCAGACTGCTAAGCTCCAAATTCCGGCCTTCTCTCTTACTAGACATGAGACCTTCGGCAAGTTTCTTAACTTTCAGGCCTGGTTTCCTCATCTATAAAGTGGCTTTAAGAATAGGACTCAGAATGAACTATATGCAATAACTTGTAATAACCTATAATGAAAAAGAATATTAAAAAGACTATATGTATGTATATGTATGACTGAAACATGATGCTGTGCCCCAGACATTGACACAACACTGTAAACTGAAAGAACAAGACAGGAATATATATGTGGAACTAAATCACTGCTGTAAGTGAAGACAAACAGAGAAAGACAAATATATATCACATATGTGGAATCTAAAAAAACGATACAAATGAACTTACTTACAAAACAAAAAGAGACTCACAGACACAGAAAACAAGTTTACGATTACCAAAGGGGACAGGGAGGGCGACGGTGAATTAGGGGCTTGGAATTAGCGGACGCACACTACTACGTATAAAACACATAAGCATCAAGGTCCTACTGTGCAGCACGGGGAGCTACAATCAATTTCTGTAGTAACCTATAGTGAAAGTGAATATATACGTATAGGTGAATCACTACGCTGTACACCAGAAACTAACACATTATAAATCAACTATACTTCAATTAAAAAAAAAAAGTCACACTAAAAAAAAAAAGGAGACTAGTATCTAGAAGAATTAAGTGAGGTAATACATATAATGATGTGTTAGCACAGTGCCTGGCGAGTAAGAAGCACTCTGTAAATATTAACCGTTATTTTAATAATGGTTGTATACAGCCGTCTCTTGAACTGGCTTAATACGGACCTGCCCCAAGAGGGGATCCATTCTTGGCATGCAAGAAAATCGTGTTTCTGGACCCAGAAGGCTGGGACTAGCATCAGGATAAAGGGGGCAGGTTTACCGAGGTAACTGCCCCCACATGGAGCCGGGTGGGGCACTCAGACACCCCTGTCTCCCTGCCCTGGTCCATGGTCCCGCGGTGGTGTGCAGCTGTTCTTTTGTGATGTTTTAGCACATGGTGATTATTACAGTAACTTTAAAATTTTTTGAGTCTTCTCAGTCAGATCTCCAGAGGGCAAAAATCTTGCCTTACGTTTCATCTATATCCTCTCAAGTCGCTAAAACAGTATTTCCCAGATGAGATAATGAGGTTTATAGAGAGTTCAGAATCAAGGGAGGCAGGTCCCCCCAAAATAAAGGGGAAAATGGAAACCAGGAAACTAGAGAGGGGGTGATGGTCAGATCAGACATTCTGAAATGAGCCACGTGGAAGAGCTCACCGGTGTCAGGGGCGGAGGCCTAGCCGAGCCGAGGGGGCAGGTGACTGAGCAGAGGAAGGTGGTTGTTCCAACCACGCCACCCTCTTGTGGGTGCTGGTCTGAGCATCTGCAAAGACCAGTTTGCTGTGGTTGCCAGAAGAACCTCTGGGTGAATACAGTGCCCTAACATGGCGGCCACGGAGGAGACCCCATGCCTCTCTGGGCACGGGAAGAAGCCGGGGGTGGCCAGGAGGCAGGTCATGACCAAGGCAGTCAGGGGAGAACACTTGGCTTGGGTTCAGAAGGGGGCAGATAGCATGTGGCATGGTGGCGCAGTCCCCTGGGCTCCGTGCCAGCACGCGGCTGCCCTCACTGCGTGATTCTGATTCTCCTGTGCTCTAGTCCCCAGTGATGGTTTCACAGGTCCTCTGCAGGCCTCTGTCTGTGGCCTCCACCGCCCCTGGGAGATTCCTGCATGGGCATCCACATGACTGCAGACTTCACTCTCATTCCCCTCAGCGTGCATTTACTTGGAATCTAAAATACTGCCACACTGCTCTTAGAGCTAGAATTGTAGCCTGTTGAGCGTAAAGGGGACCTTGGAGAGACCTAACTCTCCCAGTTTGACCACGGGGGAAACTAAAGCTCAGAGAGTTTGAGCTGCTTACCTAAGGTCACCCAGCCATCTTGGGGGCAAAGATGGACCTGAAAGCCTGATGCTCATTGGCACCCGTTCTCTCCATTCCACGCTCCCCGAAATGCAGGCTTTGTCAAGATTTTGTTTGACGCATCTGGGCTACTTTCAGTTGCTTTATCTGAAGGAAAAATGCGTTACCTATCTTGACTAGGATTATTTGGAGGATTCCAGCCCCTGCGACCTACACGTATTTCAGATGAACAGTTCGATGAGTTTTGATAGATGTATACACCAATGAAAGCACCACCACGATCAAGATGGCTAACATTTCCATCACTCCCCAGGAGGTGTGAATTTCAAATTCTCAGTTTATCCCTTCCCACCCTGGTAACCATAAGTTTGTTTTCTGTGTGAGTCTGTGTCTGTTTTGTAGATAAGTTTGTTTGTGGCCGTTTTTTTAGGTTCCACATATAAGCGATACCATATGGCATTTTTTCTTTCTCTTTCTGACTTACTTTACTTAGAATGACAATCTCCAGGTCTATCCATGTTGCTGTAAATGGCATTATCACATTCTTTTTTATTTTTTTATGGCTGAGTGGTATAAATGTGTATAAATATACCACATCTTTTTTAAAAATTATTTTATTTATTTTGGGGTTTTTTTTGGAGGGGGTAATTAGGTTTGTTTGTTTAACAGAGGTACTGGGGATTGAACCCAAGACCTCGTGCCTGCTAAGCACACACTCTACCACTGAGCTATATCCTCCCCCTGTGATGTGCTTTAAAAAAATTTTTTTTAATTGAAATATAGTCAGTTACAATGTGTCAGTTTCTGGTGTACAACAAACACATCATTGTTTTCATATTCTTTTTCATGTGTGCTTCTGTACATGTTCTGTTGAGAAGGGCCAGGCGTCTGTGTTGGTCATGACATGGACTGCAATAAAACAATACCAGCAGTAATAATCATCAGTACCCTCACTCTGGTTGGTGTGGGCCAGCACTCGGCTTTTTTGGTCTAGAAGCGGTTTAGCGGAGCAGTTGTGAGCTCCTGGCCTGGAGCCTGGCTCAGCACGCAGCTCAGAGCAGAGTGAGGCTGTCTGGACCCCCCTGCGGGCTCCTGGCTCCTCTCGCGGTGCTGATCTCACCCTACCCTGAGGGCGACCTCTCTCTGCTTCACAGGCAGGTTTGCACACGCGCTCTCCCCAGGCCTCGGACCCGCCCCGAACCCGCCTCTAACCCCGCCTGTGCTGTGTCCCCCCAGGTCTCCCAGGCGGCGGCCGACCTCCTGGCGTACTGCGAGGCCCACGTGCGGGAGGACCCTCTCATCATCCCAGTGCCTGCGTCGGAAAACCCCTTCCGCGAGAAGAAGTTCTTTTGTACCATCCTCTGACTCCGCGTGTTACCGAAGTATCTTCGTAGCCTCCCGGCAGAGGCCGCGCGTGCTCCTCGCTGCAGGGAGGCCGCCCACCGGCCCCTCCCGGACCAGGTCGGCCCCGCCCGCCGCGGCGTCTCGTTGGTTTTCGTCATTGGCGTTCGATTTCAGTTTTCTTTTCGTTTACATGCGATTTTCATGATTAGCAAAGAAAACAGACATTTTTGTAGCCAAATAACGAGTGTGCCAAGTCAAAATAAGTGTGGGTCCAAGGGCTTAATTTTTTTTAAGCATCTAATTCCCGAGTTCACATACGTCAAGTCTATGCACTGCAGTGGGTCATTTATGGAGGAGGAACAAATGTACTCCACAGTCCCCCATTCACAGAAATTCAGGGTCAGGTTAGAGCTCGCTGACCAGCCGAAGAATATGGGTCAAGTTTCCAGCTCTCGAGACAGCCGTTCTGGAAGCTTTCTGTTTCCCGCTCTTCCGTCTTCCTGCTGAAAAGCAAACAGCGCACATCATCGGCTGGTCTTCTACACATGCGCCCTCCTGGGGCCCAGACCCAATTCCCACTGACCGTCACCCGTCACTTCGGAGGTGGTCCTTCTACAAATGTACATGCTGGGCGGATGCTGCAGAGCGCTTAGCCGTAATCGTCACACGGTTACGTCTGTTTCTGTGCTCCAGCCGCGTGGCCAGGGAGACCATCTCCCCTCTCCACAGGCCACCTCTCCCTGCTGCATCTGTCCTGGCTTCTCCCCTGTAGTTCCAACGTGGGCTGCGTTACCAAGGACCCGCTCGGGGCGCAGCACTGGGCCCTGCGGGGGTTCACCAGGGCGGCTCCAGCCAGAGGAGCGAGGCAGGGCAGCGGCTCACCAGGCACGATCCGCGGGTCGGAGCAGCCCCATGGATCCACTCCTCTGACAAGGGATAAATGCCCTGAGTACAGCTGTATAGAAGAGGGAAACCGAGGCACAGAAGGACTATGCCGTTTCCCTAAGGTTGTAGGTGGTAAGCGGGGAGGCTGGGCCCTGAGTGCAGACAGTTGGGCCCCAGAGCCCAGCCTGAACCCCTGAGTTACCCCGCCTTCCAGGTCTGCCTGTTTGCAGGTAGGTAGGCAGACATGCAGACGACCTGAGCCATGTGCCATGAAGCATCATCAAGAGGGTCCACCCGGCACCCCACTTCTCTCTGCAGGAGCAGGCCTGTCGGGCCCGTCTTCTGAGAGCTTACAGAGGGTGACACATGGCTGCCCCTGTGAAAGGCTAGAGAGCTCTTGTTTTTCTGAGACAAGCTTGCAGACCCCACCGAAAACAAACTCCTACTGCCCCCGAGAAAGGAAGGGAAACACACCACAGGAGCAGAGGGCGCTTTGTCCAAGTGTGCTTCTGTTCTGTTTGTTTGGAAACTGGGAGCAGCAGCTTACTGTATGATACAGGGCGGGCCACTCTGTGTCTGGAATGTCCCAACCTGCAAATCAGGGGTGATGGTAGTTACTCCTCCTGCCTTTCTGTCTGGGACAGAGGGCGGTGCGACGTGGATGACAGCTCTGATGATCATTTAAAACAAATGCTCTCAGTGCCCGGTATAGTACAGGGAAGGATGAATGTATGACTTCACAGATCCACAATTCAGTTGGAGGAATCATGTAAAATTGCCTACAAAGAGGCAAATGTAATTTTCCGATCAGTTAATGACTTGCTACCCTTGCTAGACGGTTTCAGGACACTTTTATTCTCGGCTGCTTTGGCTAAAACCCATTCTTTGTTTCGTGAAAGCTCCCTGATAATGCCAGTGTCGTTAGGAAGCTGTGTGCTCAGACGGTCTCGGAATTGTATGCTGTCCGTGATAAATAGACTTCGCAGCCTCCTCTGTTTCGGTTGATGACCAGGCTGTCTTTATTCTGTGGTCCGTGTCAACATCATTAACCTGATAAAGCAAAAGCACAATCCATAAAAGCACATTAGAGAGGCTGACAAAGTGGGACAGCCCAGAAACTGGCTAAATCAGGTCAAGAAAAAAAATGTGCTTCTGGTCTTAACCAAACTTTCTCCCCTTTGTTTTCACTTTTTGCTGCCCCTTCAGATTCTTCTCTCCCTTTCCCACTTTCCCCTTTCCCTCCCCTCTTCCTTGCATCCCTCCATGAGATGCTTTCTCTCCTTCCGTGACACCATTTCCTTCCACACCTACGGTGTTTCGTGTGGCTTGCCCCTTCTAATGTGTCCCTTAAAGGCAAGTTCAGGCACATGGGCTGCGAGATATGCAAACGTGCACACCAGCCCCTCCCCTCCAAGTCGCTGGGAACTGATGAAGTGGGGTGCACCAGTTGTCATTCGGTGTTTCCAGCTTGGCTGTCTAGCACCTGACCCCTTTCCTAAATGGGGAACTCACCCCTTATGTATAAATTGGGTGGGATACAGTACCCCCTCCCACTGTGGTTGCTGAAGTGGGGGAGGGCTTCCCTGTCTCTCAGGTGCACCCCCCTTTCCCAGCACCAGAGTGCCCAGTGACCAGGGCAGGCTCCTAGGACTCCCGTACTTGGGACTGTGAGCTCAGAGCTAGTGACACAAACATTTAGGGATGCTGAGATTCGTTTCATGAGAGCTGCAGTGGTCGGGGTGGCAGTGGTCGAGCAGGGGAGGTGTCTAGGACTGGTAGGCTGCAGGGATGGTGTGTCCACTGGTAACAATGTCGAGGGATGGCCAGATCACAAGCAGACCATTTCTGCTCCATTCTTTGGCCCCACTGAGCTGCCTCGGTCCTTACCCAGGTCTCCTTCCCAGCTTTCTGTCAGTTCTCTGAGCCTCCAAGCTTCATCCAAGAAATTCCCTCCTCTTCCACAAAATAGCCTGGGTTGAATGTGTGTGTCACATGACCTAAAAACTCCATTCCCAAGTGAACAGAAATGTGTATGTATTTTCGCCAAAAGTAGGGTACTAGAATGTTCTAGAAGCGCTGCTCATAATAACCCCAGACTGGAAAGGACCCAGGTGCCCATGTTGAATGGATAAACAAATCACGGTGTGTCCGCACCATGCAGTCCTGGGATGCTTCGGCAGGTGCACACACAACATCTCACGAGAGAAGGCAGGTCCGGGAGCGGGTGGTTCCGTGTCTATCAAGTGCGAACCCCGGCAGGGCTCACCTCCGCTGTGGCAAGCAGGGAGGTGAGTGACTCTGGGGGCCTGGTCACCGGAAGGGCACAAGGGAACTTCTCGGATGTTCTGTTTCTTGGTCTGGTTGCTGGTTACCTGGGTGTGTCCAGTTTGTGAAAATTCTCCACGCGTGCGCCCTTTTCTGTATCGATGTTGTACTTCAATAAAACACTGGTTTTGTGGCTATCCATTGAGGCTCTTATGGTTTTCTTTTCCTTTTTGCCGTTTGGCTCGACTTTTTACTCCTGCTTGGGTGTAACATCATTCGCGGGGCATTTGAGTGTACTTGACAACACGCCGAGATACGGAATACTTACAATCCACAGGCTGTCAACACAGTGTAGACGGTGGCCTGTGAATGGAGTATGTGGGTGCCTCACATGGAATCTGTGTCTCTGGGGCGGACAGTGGGGAATCCTCCTGGGGCTTCCCGCTTGGCCCAGCCTCTCTGTAAATGAGGCAGGTGACATCTCAACCTCTCCTGCCTTCTGGAATGAATGGAGGGGCTGGCCGGCCACAGTGACACCACCTCTGGGGAGGGAGCCGCTGCGGAGGCACCAGCTGGCTCTGCAATGTTGCATCTTATGAACAGAACCCAGTCTCCCAGGCTGCCTGACCCGTAGACACACTGAGGGAAACGTGGCTCCCTGGACCCTGCACCCACCCACGGGGGTCCTGGGCCCCCTTCCAAACCTCTGATCAATGCTGAGGTCCCCGGGGCTGTCTCCTTTGCTGTCGGCTCCCACGTGGCCCCACCAGCTCCTTCCTGCAGCTCTGACACGTTGAATCCCCGGGTGATCACAGAGTAGCTTCATGCTAGGTCTCCTGGGACAGGAGCCGGCTGGTCTCCCTTTGATTCTGAGCACCGGGCCCCATGGAACTCAGCAACAGTCTGCATGGTCAGCCACCACCCTCCCAGGGAGCCGAGGGAGGGGAGCAAACCAAAGGTCGGCAGGAGTTTTGTTCTGGTGACTGTTCAAATTTGAAATGAAAATCACACGAGCAACTCATGTTTTGGCCTGAGAAGAAGACGGGCTGTGGGTGATAGAATTTACCTCCTCATCCTCTCCTTCCGCTCTTCATGGTGGTGAGAAGACACCAGTTTTTATGGAGGCCCAGAAGGATGCTCCCTGTCTGCTGTGTTTCAGCTCCATCTCCTGGGGTGGGGTGGGGGCACACCTTGTGCACACCATGCACCGGGAAGCAGTCCTCACAGCACCTGTCATTGCTGCAATTTCACATCAGTGCACGTGGTCGCTCGATGCCCACATGCGTCCCCCACTACCACGCAAACCCCGTGAGGGCCGGGGTGTCACCCTCAGCACCTGTCACCTGGTCCATGAGAGACACTCAATAAGCATCATCCCAGTGAAGCAGTGAAAGTCACGACCAGTCCTTTTGTGCCCCTGAGTGCTTCCCCTTAGCTAGGCTGCAGACCAGGGCGAACCAGCCCTCTGAAGATGCTGTGAAACAGTAACCAAGGGAAAGAGGGAGGGAAACCATTAAGTGTTTATACGTGGATAATGTATTGAAAAAAGAGACACGTACTCAGTGAAGGAGTTCACTTTTTTGGGTGGGGGAGATGATTAGATTTACTTATTTATTTCTTAGTTTTATTGGGTAGAATTGTTACAACTTGACTGCACATGTACAATATGGCGCACATACACATTGTATATATTTAATGGAGGTGCCGGGGATTGGACCCAGGGCCTTGTGCATGGTAAGCACACACTCTACCACTGAGCTATAACCTCTCCACCCCTGGAGTTCACTTTTTAATCCTCACAATTGTGTTGCGAACCTAATTATGCTCATTCTGCAGATACATACTCCTCCTATACAGATGAGGAAGCTAAATTTGAATGAAGGGACTTGCCGGAGATCAGAGAAGTACTGAGTGACTGGATTTGAATTCCCGTCCGTCCTCCCCACTTAGCACCACCATCACAGTGCCTGCCCG